TGTTTCACTGGTCAACAACTGTTAGCACCAAGATTTTTTTTTTGTACTTTGGACTCTGGGGTACATTGCACGTCCTGCATCCTGCAGGATTGTTGCAGAGGTACATACATGCCATGGTGGTTTGCTGTCTCCATCCCTCTTTCACCTACATCAGGCATTTCTCCCAATGTTATCCCTCCCCATCCTCCCTGTTCTGCCGTCCCTCCCCTCCTGTCCACTCCCTCAACTACCACAGTGAGTGTTGTTCCCTGTCCTGTGCCTAAGTGTTCTCATAGTTCATTACCCGCTTATGAGTGAGAACATACAGTGTTTGGTTTTCTGTTTTTGTGTCAGTTTGCTGAGAATGATGGCTTCCACATTCATCCGTGTGTCTACAAAGGACACGAACTCATCATTTGGTTTTTAAATGTAATGAAAAAATTTAGGAAATCCACACAAATGAAAGAATAGCTAATTACTAATATTGCACATAAATCCATCTCACAATTTGTTTTAGTAGACTCAGTTCATTAATGTAAACTTTAAGATACATTTTCCTTGTGTTTTCTTGACTATTCTACGTATTCTTTCTTAATTCAATCATTAATAAAAATGCTGAACAGGACCAGGCTAGATGGAGTCCCCTATCATAAATTGTAAATGTCACTCGTGGTGGCAATCAATCCAGCAGTTTGGACGAATGATAGAAAAACTAAAACTCAAAGTCATTAAAGCATATGAAGTCCATATTTCACCATTTTATCAGTTCAAAATGAAAGATTTTGTCAAATGTCTTGGTGAAACTCAAATACCCATGTTTCAGGAATGAGCTTTTCAAAGGACCAGTGCAGCTCTTCTGCTAACCACTATAATTTCTGATCTCCCATTTCTGCAACTGGAGCGTGTTTAAAAGTGTGGACAAATTAATGCACCATACAAGCAAAGATTTTTTTGGAAGGTTATTCTTTTCCTTTGAGGGTAGGAAAAGAAGGGTGACCTTACTCCTGACTTTCTGCAAGGACTGCAATACACTAAGGGAAATGGTTTCTTTTCACTATGCAGAAAGGCCATCAGTCAGGGGCAAAGTTCAGATGACCAAATTCTTAAGAAGAACACAGACTGTAATTTGGATACTATCAGAAAACAAAATCGTAAATTTTGTGTTAGAGAGAACTCAGCAGAGAAAGCCAGTGTCCCCTACATACATTATTTCTAGTAGATTTCAGGAGCTGAGCAAAGAAGCAAGAGAAATAAAGACTATGGAAGAGCATACAGGAAAATATGGGCAAGGGGAGGTGCAGAAAAGAGAGAATTCCAAATGAATAAGAGCTGAAGTACAAGGGTGAGCTCTTGTATAACGGTGTATGGAGTCAGCCAAGATGGCAACAGAGTGTAAGAATGCTGAACCAGCTAACTTGAGCTAAGCGATTCTTCCAGCTCCTAAAATAGATTCCTACCATCATCATATGCCTATGAATTGTCGCCTACCTTTCATTTAATTACTCAGTGCATTTGTTTAGAAGTTTACCTAGAGAGTCATTAAACAATTCTTTAAGAAATGATCTTTGTTTAGAATTCTGGTTGAATTTTCTGATTGAATTATTTGGTAGAAACAACAACAAAAAAACTGCATGGTGGAAAACTCTAGGTACAGTATTTCTAGTTCCTAGACTGATGTCCAAGTCTAGATGATTGTCAAGAACGGAATCTCTCTGTTCTCATCCTTACGATGGGAGGACATAACAGCAGAGAATATAATCTGTGCTTCTAAAAAGAATAAGTAGTGAGATATAGGAGATTATTTTAATTTCTATTAAGATTTCTTATGCATATATTTTTCCTGTGTTTTAATCATCTTGGTGTTTCAAGCCAAAAAGGCTAGAAGTAACAAGATTTTACACACATCTGTGCACATGCCTGCAAGATTATTTTGGATACTTATAATAAATATATTCCAAGAGACAAGTTTGAAAATATTTAACTGACTGATGGAAAATAGTAAAAATATTTTGAAAAATTTTCCAAATGCTTTATAAAATATTATTCTTTAACTGACATACTATATGTATTTCCTTTCCATTACCAGCATAAAGCTCTAACATCTGTTAGAGAAAGAGCAGTCTCTTAGTGATAATATACTAAAATGACTATTACTTGACAATGTTACTTCATATTTAGTAATGTCCTCCTCATTTTCCGAGATACATTTTATTAAGATGTCATAGGTTTTTCTATAAGTAAAATGAATTCTTTTTACTAATGTGATCTGTTGGGAGCAAATAAATTAGCATACAATATAAGATTTATTTTACATTAATACTGGTCCAAAATTACATCTTTTGGTTACATAAAATCTCTTACAAATACTTAGTGTGTTGTAAGTCATAACACAAAAGTTACTTGCAATGTTTAATTGCCCATTTTTTCTTATGCTAATCTTATATTTGTTTATAATAGGTACAGCCAACTTAAGTAGCAGAGACAAATATTTAGCACCAAAAGACACTTTCTGTAAAAGACATTATAGTCTGTTTATGATTCTTCATTTTACAATTCTGTGTGAGATTTGTAGTTTGTATTTCACAAATGAAAGAAGAAAGATCCAAATAGTTTATTTTATCTATTCCAGGACCCAATATTCTAATATTCCTGGGGCAGGAAACTTGTACCAGAAATTTTACAGATTACAATCAGGTTAAAAATGAGCACTGAGGAGGCCAGGCACGGTGGCTCACAAGTGTAATTCCAGCACTTTGGGAGTCCAAGACGGGTGGATCACTTGAGGTTAGGAGTTTGAGACCACCCTGGCCAATATGGTGAAATCCTATCTCTACTAAAAATACAAAAAAAAAAAAAAAAAAAAAAAGGAGGTGGTGGTGACACACTTCTGTAGTCCCGGCTACTTGGGAGGCTGAGGTAGGAGAATCTCTTGAACTCAGGAGGCAGAGATTGCAGTGAACTGAAATTACACCACTGCACTGTAGCCTGGGCAACAGAAATAAACTCTCTCTCTCTCTTAAAAAAAAAAAAAAAAAAAAAAAAGAAAGAAAGCACTGGGGAAGACTTTAACGTGAAAATAATCTGCACATGCCTAATTGCTCTGGCTAGGACTTCCAATACTATGTTGAATGGAAAGTGGGCAAAGGATATGAACAAACACTTTTCAAAAGAAGACATTCATGCAGCCGACAAACATGAAAAAAATGCTCATCATCACTGGTCATTAGAGAGATGCAAATCAAAACTGCATTGAGATACTATCTCACACCAGTTAGAATGGTGATCATTAAAAAATCAGGAGACAACAGAAGCTGGAGAGGATGTGGAGAAAGAGAAACACTTTCATACTGTTGGTGGGAGTGTAAAGTAGTTCAACCATTGTGGAAGACAGTGTGGCAAAGACAGTGTGATGATTCCTCAAGGATTTATAACTAGAAATATCATTTGACCCAGGAATCCTATTACTGGATATATACCCAAAGGATTATAAATTATTTTATTATAAAGACACATGCATACGTACATTCATTGGGGCACTGTTTACAATAGTAAATGCCTGGAACCAACGCAAATGCCCATCAATGATAGAATGGATAAAGAAAATGTAGCACATATACACCATGGAATACTATGCAGTCATAAAAATGGGTGAGTTCATGTCCTCTGCAGGGAAATGGATGAATCTGGAAACTATCATTCTCAGCAAACTGACATAAGAACAGAAAACCAGACACTGCATGTTCTCACTCATTGGTCGGTGTTGAACAATGAGAACACATTGACTTACACAGGAGGGGAACATCACACACTAGGGTCTCTTAGGGGATGGGAGGCTAGGGGAAGGATAGCGGGGGTGGGGAGGTTGGAAAGGGATAACACTGGGAGAAATGCCTGATGTAGGTGACGGGCGATGGAGGTAGCAAAACACCATGGCATGTGTGTACCTATGCAACAATCCTGCAAGATCTGGACATGTACCCCAGAACTTAAGGTATGTGTGTGTATATATGTATGTATATATATATAGACACATAAAAGTATCTTCACTTACATAACATCCTTCCTGCAGGTTCTTGGGTATCAAGTAGAGAAGAGGGGACCATTGGGTTGATCGTAGTGGCATGTGGGGATTTTCAAATTCTTTTCACATATCTGTGCCTCAGACAATATTGCTGTTATTGCATTGTTTACTTTAAACACTAATTGGAGGAGTCATCTTCCATTGCTCACTCTGTACCAACTTGAGTCACTATTTAGTGTCTTGGTACTTGAGGATGCAAGTACTTTTGAATAAATCCACCTGGATTTAATGAGCCAGGTGTGTGACCTTAGATAAACAGGTCAATCTGTTTATCTAAGATTTACAGGTAAATTTACAGGTAAATCTGTTTATCTAAGTGAATGCGACTATGACATTCACTGCTAATTTATTGTCATTAGATAATTATTCAGAGTACTTAGCACAGGGTCTGCATCATATTAGAAACATAGCAAATTTCAGTTCTATTCAAAACTGGACATCCACAGTGGTTATTACAAATATTTTCTACCTTACTAATTGTGTTGTGTCTTTTTTTTTTTTTAAATCACTGTGCTTTCTAAGTTTGGTGCAATAAGAGGAAACAAGGCTGAACTATTGTCAAAGAATTTTATGTGTTTTCCTTATTTTATGCAATCATTTGGCATAGAGAGTCAAAGACGTCTAACTTCATAGTAAGATGGTCATTGAGATATATTCTTACTTTAGTCAGATTATTGTCATTTCAAATATTTTAATTAATACACATAATATTCTTCTATCATGTATGATACAGAAAATATTATTTTCTATTATTAAAAAATTAAGTCAGCATGTGCAAGACCACAAATTTGGGTAAAACAGTTGCCATCATTGTTTTTCTATTTGCTCTTGGGAGTGTAGCTGTGGCCTGAAGTTTAATAATGCTATTTATAACATCAAGAGTACACCTTTGAATTTGAATTGTAATGTTGAACATATTTTAATAAATATTTCAAAACAGGTCGAAGTCAGTATCTCAGAATCTGTCACGATAATCATCGTGAACTATCCGTCAATTTCTCCATAATAACAGTAATAATTGAATATGAAAACTCTACATTTCAGTTACGAACTCTGAGTTTTTCATGTGGACGGTTATATTTTCAGTGCTGGCTACAGTTGCATTTGCCACAATTACTGACTCTAAAGTTCATCCGATGTGATAAGTGCAATTTTCTTGGTCAGGTGGGTGGGCGAGTCACTGTGAAGAGATGAATCTCTGGAATGATGTTGTTGTTTTTTAGTCTTACTTTTTGGGCTCTGGGGTACATGTGCACATCCTGCATCCTCCAGGATTGTTGCATAGCTACATACATGCCATGGTGGTTTGCTTTCTCCATCCCCCTGTCACCTACATCAGGCATTTCTCCCAGTGTTACCCCTCCCCATCCTTATCGCCCCCACTGTCCCTCCCGTCCCCTCCCCTCCACCCCCTACCTAGCTCAGTGAGTATTGTTCCCTTCCCTGTGCTCATGTTCTCATTGTTTGTCACCTGCCTATGAGTGAAAACATGCGGTGTTTGGTTTTCTGTTCTTGTGTCAGTTTGCTGAGAATGATGGTTTCCAGATTCATCCATGTCTCTACAAAGGACACAGACTTGTCAATTTTTATGGTTGCATAGTACTCTGCAGTGTATATGTGCCGCATTTTCTTTGTCCAGTCTATCATTGATGGGCCTTTGGGTTGGTTCCAGGTCTTTGCTGTTGTAAATGGCGCTGCAGTGAACATATGTGTGCATGTGTCTTTATGATAGAATGATTTGTAATCCTTTGGGTATATACCCAATAATGGAATTGCTGGGTCAAATGGAATTTCTATTTCTAGATCCTTAAGGAATCACCACACAATCTTCCATAATGGTTGAACTAACTTATACTCCCACAAACAATGTAAAAGTGTTCTTTTTTCTCTACATCCTCTCCAGCATCTGTGTCTCTAGATTTTTTAATGATTGCCATTCTAACTGGCATGAGATGGTATCTCAATGTGATTTTTATCTGCCTTTCTCTAACGCCCAGTGATGACAAGCACTTTTTCATATGTTTGTTGGCCTCATAAAAGTCTTCTTTTTGTCTGTTCAACTCCTTTGCTCACTTTGGATGGATTGGTTTGTTTGTTTTTCTTATAAATCTGCTTTAGTTGTTTGTAGATTCTAGATATTAGCCCTTTGTCAGATGGGTAGATTAAAAAAATATTTTCCCCATTCTTTTGGTTGCCAGTTCACTCTAATGATTGTTTGTTTTGCTGTGCAGAAGCTCTTAAGTTTAATTAGATTTCATTTGTGGATTTTGTCTTTTGTTGCCATTGCTTTTGGTGTTTTAGTCATGAATTTCTTGCCTGTGCCTGTGTCCTGAATGGTGTTGCCTAGGTTTTCTTCTAGGGTTTTTATGGTGTTAGTTCTTAGGTTTAAATCTTTAATCCATCTGGAGTTAATTTTTATATAAGGTGTAAGGAAGGGGTCCAATAAACCACTTTAAACTTCATATGGAACCAAAAGAGAGCCTGTGTAGCCAAGACAATCCTAAGCAAAAAGAACAAAGCTGGAGGCATCATGCTACCTGACTTCAAACTATACTACAAGGCTACAGTAGTCAAAACAGCATGGTACTGGTACCAAAACAGAGACATAGACCAATGGAACAGAAGAGAGGCCTTAGAAGCAATGCCGCCCATCTATAACTAGCTGATCTTTGACAAACTGGATGAAAACAAGCAATGGGGAAAGGATTCCATGTTTAATAAATGGTGTTGGAAAAACGGGCTAGCCATATGCAGGAAGCTGAAACTGTTGGGTTTTATCTTTGGGAAATTTTAGTCCCATACTACTTTCAAACTTATTTTTAAAACTTCTAGATTTATAATAAAATTTAGGAGAGAAAGAAAATTTTACATCTTCCTTCTATTTCTTTTGTATTTTGTGCCTAAGTTTAGCTATTAGATCACATAAAGGACTACCTTAGTTTTATCCATTTGTTAAGATTACATTCATATTTTAACCTATTCTCAGGGCCCACACTATTTAAATCTATAGAATCTATTAAAGAATAGAGTGTATGAATCCTTCCTTGATGGTAAATTGTGGCCTATAGATAACATGAAAAATGTAACAAAGCGACAGAATAAAGTAGTGTAAGAATACATGCAAAAATCAATGAGACTATAGATTCATGGAGCTAAATTTTCTTTTTAAAAATTTTCTCTCTTCCAACTTTTATTTTAGGTTCAAGAAGTACATGTGCAGGTTTGTAACATAAGTAGATTGTGTGTCACTGGGTTTGGTGTACAGATAATTTTGTCACCCAGGTAATCAACATAATACCTGATAAGTTGTTTTGCAATCCTTTGTCTCCTCCCACCCTCTGTTCTCAAGTAGGTCCTGATGGGTTGTTCCCTTCTTTAGGTCCATTTGTACTCCATGTTTGACTCCCACTTATAAGTGAGAACATGTAGTATTTGGTTTTCCGTGTCTCCATTAATTTGTTTAGGATAGTGGCCTCCAGCTCCATCCATGTTGCTGCAAAGGACACAATTTCATTCTTTTTTATGGCTGCATAGCGTTCCGTGGTATATATGTACTACATTTTCTTTATGCAGTCCACCACTTATGGGCATCTAGGTTGACTCCATGTCTTTACTATTGTGAATAGTGCTGCAAAGAACATGCATGTACATATGTTTCTATGTAAGGATCCAAAGAACTATTAATCAGATTAACAGTGAGGAAAAAGCATTGGTTAGGGTATCTGGAAACAATGGACCTTTTGTTACAATTTGGAGGGGTGCTGTTGCTGTAGAAGATACTTATATGGAGATTGAGATTCGTGCTATGACTTCCCACAGGAAGATGTCTTACTGAAGATAATTGGGTCTCAACAGGCCTGCTACATTGCACAAAACCGGAAGCTCAACTGTACTATTGAAATGGCATGGCATGGAAGGACACCTGAATTCAGAAATATTATCCAAAGTGGTGTAAAATAAAATCAATAAAATCCATCAACACATCACCTGGTTGCCTGGATTTTCACTTTTCCTTCTTCCAGAAAAGCTGTGCGCTTATCTTTTTCAGTGATTTTTGTTCCCAAACCTGTTTAGGCCACTTGGATATGTTATTATATTGTGTATCTTCATTACATATTTTGCCAATTGAAAATAAATTCACCTGTAATACCAAAACTTTGGGAGGCCAAGATGGACGGATCTCCTGAGGCCATGAGTTCAAGACCAGCCTGGCCAACATGGTGAGACCCTGTCCTACTGAAAATGCCAAAATTAGCCAGGTGTGGTGGCAGGCACCTGCAGCCCCAGCTACTCAGGAGAGTGAGGCAGGAGAATCGCTTGAACCCAGGCAGCAGAGGTTGCAGTGAGCTGGGATCATGCCACTTCACTCCAGGCTGGGAGACAGAGTGAGACTCCATCTAAAAAAAAAAAAAAAAAAGTGAAATTAATGCAAAGATAGTTGTTTCTATAAAAATTAAGTCGAATGGATTGAAAAGATTTGATAGAGAAAGTCACTTAAAAACTTTTGTTGTTGATTTTTTCTCTTTTTTAGAGACAGGGTCTTGGTCTGTTACACAGGCTGGGGTGCTGTGGTGTGATCAGAGCGCATTGCAACCTTGAACTCCTGGGCTTGTGTGATCCTTCCATCTCTGCCTCCCTAGTAGCTGGGACTACTACCACCGCATCCAGCTAATTTTATATATGTTGCTCAGGCTGGTCTTGCTGTTGATTTAAAGATATAAAAAAGTAAGGAATAAAAATAAAAATCTAGAATTCTGCACAAATACATTTTTCACAAGTGTTTTTATGTTCTAATTTTACTAAAAACAACAACAACAACAACAACAACAACAACAACAAAAAACCCTCCAGACCAGAAACAATTGAATAATGTATGGGGAATAAACTCTGCATAAGGAAGATAAGGAAACAAAAGGCAGTAAACCTGTTTTGAAAGACTGAAAATCTTTTGTGTTTTTTAAGTTAAGATAAAATATTTAAAGCGTGTGACTATTTCATGCTTTTACCTTCAGCTAACTTCTTTAGTTAAGCAAACAGGAAAATTGGGGAAAGTTAATGAGCAGAATATTTACAAAGGGTGAGCAAGGCTTAGGGAAACCAACAAAGAATAATGCAGTGCCAAGATCTATCAACAGTGGCGGAGCCTCTGCCTTCCTTAAACTTAAGGAAACCCAGGGACAGAAGCCATATGGAAAGAAGGGACCCAGCAAGAAAAAAGCCAACAATTAAGCCGCCAACCTCCTCTTCTCCTGCCTCTGTCTCCTGCTAATGCCCACCGCGGCAGAGATTAACAGGAGATATGTGATGTGATCCATCACTTTTGTCGTTTATATCCATTCTTGATTTTTATATGGGTGGAAAATTTATGCACTCAATGCAATGAATTCCCAAGACTGATTAGATAATGTAACATTTTAGGGAAATATCAATTAGAACGTATTACTATTTGTGAATCTAAAATATTAGCGGCATCATTGTGTGCTTTCTGCTCCTTCGAGCATTTGATAAAGGTAGTGTTCACAGAAGTGTGGAAAGAACTTAATGGCACCAAGAAAGGATAGCATGAGTGAAGGATGAGCAAAATCGGGGTTTACTCTCTCTTGCCACTCTAGGCTTTACTCTTCTGAAAGCGCGTGGAGGTTTGGGGCAGCTGCTTCCAAGAGAGGCTATATGGAAAGTGTGACTTCCTTTCTTTGCTCCCAGTTTTTTATGTGACAGAAGCCCATCCCTTTTAATCAACAGAGGAATGGAGAGGAGAACAAACCTTTTCCTTTTGTCTTTATCCATAGAAATAGATTGGTATTCTTTTGTGTGTATGTGTGTGTGTGTATACATGTATATATATGGTCAGGTGCAGCATAATGACATTTGGGCCAATGATGGACCACATATATAGTGGTGGTTTCATAAGATTATAATGGAGCTGAAAAATTCTTGTTACCTGGTGACATCATAGGTGCTGTAATGTTGTAGCACACTTTATTTTTAATGAATTTATTGTAATCTAAATATACAGCGTTGATGAAGTCTACAGTAGTGTACAGTAATGTCTTAAGCATTCACCTTTACTCACTCAGCAACTTTGAATTGTGCAATCTCAATTTATTGTAATAATTCTATAGAGATGTACCATTTAAATATTCATGTTTTTATACTGTGTTTTG